AAGCGAGGGCAGGGCGCGAAAATGCGGCGCGGACCTTCCGGCGGCCATTTTGGAACCGCCGATCAGCTGTTCTCCCCGGCTTCGAATGCTCCAGCGATGGCCCAGAGCGCCTCGTTAAGCGATTTCATCGCTCAGCGAGGCGCTCGTTAAGCAAGGCACCACTGTATTTAATAAATGTGTTACAGATAAAAATATTTCCTGAGTTCTTTATTCTTGTAAACCTGAAAAGACACCTGCACGAGGAATTTTAAACCCCACAGGCTTGGTCACTTCCATCTAAAATTCTAAACTTTTTGATCGAAGTTCTCTGCATTTTGCAAAGGTTCTCATTTCCCCCTCTTTAATAAGCAAAGCATACGGGCACCCACAAAGCAGCTGACTGATTGTTAAGTGAGATGAGAAAAACCCATCAAGAGCTTCAAAGTCGTAAACAAAGCAGCCACCACCCTAGTTCTGCATAGTTCACAGAATTGCACAATTTTTTTTTTGTAATTTTGAGCAAAACTGGGAAATTTTGCATAAAACATCATTCGTTGATGTTGAAAGTGTAAGGAAATTCCTTGCCATCTTTTCTGCTGGGAAGCATGTTGCAATTCTTTGTTCTGCTGTGCAAGTTTGAGACAAGGAAGGTGTTGCATCCTATTTGTATATAGCTTACATCCACACTTTAAAAAGAACACAACAACAAAGGAAAACTGAGAGCTCGTACACTTTGGGGAATAATATTTTATTCATGGACTGGTGAGACCCAGACTGAAATCTCTGCCATAGAACAAATCCCACTAGACAATCTAGTCCTGTTAAAATCTCTGTTGATATGTGTTGGGGTTAGGGTTAGTGGCATAAATCCATTAGGGATAAATTTAGTGCAGCTATGAGGGTCTTGGAAGTAGATCAAGATGCATGAAAGATCAGAAAAATACTTTATTTCCCCAGTGCATTTGGGGAGGTGGAGAAGAAGGGGAAATAGGTCTCTGTGCTATTGATGACAGTAGCAACACCTACGAATTTGCAAATTGTGAATTTCTCTCCGCACCCTACAGTCCCTCTGTGTGTCTCCGCACATTACCTCCTCCACCTTCTGCATGCAAGTTCGTCTGGCTGCAGCTTCCTTATAGCAGAGGAGAAGCTACAGCAGTCTGAGCGGACATCCTTCTGTCTAGGTCAGGGAATGAGAACTTCTCACAATCAAGAGGTCTCACCCACCCACCCTGCAGCCTTGTACAGTGGTGCCCCGCATAGCAATGTTAATCCGTTCCAAAAAAAGTCGCTATCCAGATTCCTCACTATACATGGCAAAAAACCCCATAGGAACGCATTAAAACACGTTTAATGCATTCCTATGGGGGGAAAACTCACTGCTATGCGGAAATCATACGGCCGCCATTTTCGCCACCCGGTAAGCGAGGAAACCATGTGAAAACGCTGCGGGTGCCCATTTTGTTTACCCGGTGGCCATTTTGGAACCACCGATCAGCTGTTTAAAAAACATTGCAATGCGAAGATCGGTAAGCGAAACGCTTACCGATAATTGCAATGCGGTTTTCGCCCATTTAAACATTGCAATGCGATCGCTTTTGCGATCGCAAAATCCACATCGCTATGCAGATTCGTCATTAAACGGGGCGCTCGCTATGCGGGGCACCACTGTACCTCCTGTGGCATGATACAGGCATTGTGGGGCCACATGGAATCATTTCACCAGACTTTTTGGCTACTCAAAAGCTATTTCAAGTGACTTCTGGTTCTGGAAATGTTGCCACTGCCCTCAAACAGCCAAGGAGGTATTTGGTAAATGTAAAGGTTCCCCTTGATATTTTGTCCAGTTGTGTCCGACTCTAGGGCATAGAGCCAGCATTTGTCCGAAGACAGTTTCTGTGGTCACGTAGGCAGTGTGACTAGACTAGACCTTCCCACTGTGCTGGTACCTATTTATCTACTCACATTTGCATGCTTTTGAACAGCTAGGTTGGTAGGAGCTGGGACGAGCGACGGGAGCATGGATTCGATCTTACGACTGCAGGTCTTCTGACCTTGCAGCACAGAGGCTTCTGTGGTTTAACCCACAGCGCCACCATGTCCCTTGGAGGTATTTGACGGGTGACATAATTGACCCAGGCCTTTTAGCAGGGCAGAACCGAACACTGTGAGGGGGGAAATGTTTAAAAATGTCTATGCGAAGGTTAGAAATGGAAGGGGATCATTTGAGCACCGGGGGAACACTTATTACTGATGGTACCAAAATTAGCTAATGGGGGCGGGGGGATCTATAGAAAAAAATTGAATTTTTTAGTGTCTCTCTTACCTCCACAGTTAAAAAAAAAGAAAGCAAAACTGAGAGCTCGTAGGCTTTTGGAAATAATGTTACATTCTTTAATGCTTGGACTGGGGATACACAGACTGCAATCTCAGCCTTATAACAAATTCCGTTAGAGGAGCTAGTCCTATAATCCTTGTTGAGGTGTGTCAGGGACCGAAATGTGACTTCCACCCCACACTTTGCTCATCCCTGACCTAGGGGCTAGAAGATAATTCCATCAGATTCAAATCTTCCTTTTCTTCCTTCGCATCCTAGTTTTGATACCATCCGTGAAATGGAACTTGGGAGATCCAGGTTGTAATCCCCACTGAGCCGTGATACTCGCTAAGGGCTCTTAGATAAGCCACGATCTCTCCCCGTGATCTCCCTCACAGGTTGTTACGAAGATCAAGGGGTGAGGAAGAGGAGACTGTCATTTACAACCTTAAGCTCGCTGAAAGGCTAAGAAAACACAACAGTCAATGTAAACACTCACTCTGCTTTCTTGCGTTTGTGGTAAGAGCGCCTCCATGGATTCCTCCAGGTCTTCCTCTTGGCTAAAGACAAGTCCGGCAGAAAGGCAGCCAGGGACCCCTCTATCTGGTCAGGTTTCCCACACAAAGCATGCTCTGTGGAGCAGTAGTAAGAGCATTCGCCATAGAAACAGATGTTATTGGCTGCAGAAAGAACGAAGGAGATGGTGAGGAACCTTCTCTGTTTTGAATGACCATCTTGACCAACATGGATGACAGCACTGAGGCTGATATTCATATATGTGCTTCCTTTTCTATCAATGAATAACAGGCCAGTTTACTATTTACAATAATGGCTTGGAGACAGACCCAAGGGAGGTGATGGTGGAGGGGAAAAATGGGAGAAAGAGATCGGAATGAGGAGATCAGCCAATTCACGTGGCAGTGTTTCTCATAAACATTTCACAGGGAGCTTGGATGATAGTCAAGGAAGACATTGACTGCACAAGAGACATTTTAGGGACATGGAAGAATGGAGCTGAGTAGAGATGGGCATGAACTATGGTTCGGTGATTCGGTCCAGCACTCACACAGGTGTTCGTGGATGACACATACTTCCCTCTCCTGCTTCCTCTGTGTGATCTCCACTCACTACCAACAGCACAGGCTTCCTTGCTCTGCCTCCTCATCAGTGCGGGCGATCACAGCGGAAGCAGAGGAGGGAAGCGTCTGCTGCTGCCAGTGAGTGGGTGATCCTGCAGAAGACAGAAGCATGGGGTGTCCGCAGAACACCTGTAATGGTGCCATTTGCCGAACTGGGCTGGATGGCCAAAAGGTGGTTCAAGCCCATCTCTAGAGCCGAGGACTCTGATTTCACGGCATTGGTGAAGCCATATCCGATTTTAGTTTGAACTTGACCATGGCTATCCCGGGTGCTGAAACCTAGAGATTTAAGCACCATGGACAGCTCCTAGAAAGGGAAGACTGAAACCACACAATGGGTCAACTGCTATCACAGAATCTTAGGGCTTTCAGCTCTATTCAACAGAGGGATAACCCAAACATGCTGCTAAAATGCTCAGTGTGTTTTTCCCCACTCCATCTATTGTCACTCTACTTCTGTGGAAAGCGACAGTCGATCTAGAACCCTGGAAAATCAGGATTTCCAGTTGCAAAAGAGAGGGGTGCATACCGAGATGATGCTGCCATCTTCGGACTACTGCACTTGACGTGAACAGTGCAACGGCAACAGAGGTGGGTGAGATTTAGCATCCTCCATTATGCAGTAATTTAATCCCTGGCAGGATTAATAGCTGTTCAAGAACTGCTGGATAACTCAGTGGTTCAAGTATCTGGCTACAGAGGCAAAGGTTGGGAGTTTGATTCCCCACCGGGCCTCATGATCCATAGAGTCCCATCCAACCTTATGGCTCTAAGATGATGATGGTGATGATGATTATAAGGAAAAAGTAGTGAAATTTCTGGTTGCATATATTTTCTTGAAATACCTTGCAAATAACTTGCTTAGTTTTTATACGGAAGCTTCATTACACACACAAAGAGACACAACACATGTGGATACAGAAGCCATGGCCCTACAGCTGTGACTTATCATCTGGCAGAATGGAGTGCTTCTTAAAAAAAGCTCCCCAGAATTCGTCACAGACTGGTGACGAAAGCAGCCTGTTGTTTTACTAGCCGCAACCCCTTCTTTTGGTGAGCATAAGGTAGGCTTGGTGGTTGGCTTAGAGTGAAATGTGATTTTCAAAAAACAAAAGGAAGACAATGCTCCTATCATTATTATTTGCCTTGGATGTATTAACTGTCTGTGTGACATATCAATAGGAAGAAAGAAAAGAGGGTGGAGATGGAATAAAAGCCTTCCACCTGCCCTGGCTTTTCTTCCGAGGTTCGGTAGAATATGAGGGTTCCTCTCCTTCATGATATTTGAGGCAAAGTGTCACTGCTGGCAAAACATCATCCATGGCTGTTGCTATCGGGTGCTTCTTTCACTCACTTCTGTTGTTACCCTGTTCCTTTCTCTGGAGGGACATGTTTGAGATGTATAAAATGATGCAGGGGACGGATCAAGTGGAGAGAGAGGAGCTCTTATCCCTCTCACGCAACACCAGAACCAGGGGACATCCACTCCGGTTGAGTATTGGGGGGGGAGTGAGAACAGACCAAAGAAAACATCTCTTGTTGTTCATCTGTGGAACTCCTTGCCACAGTTGACCTGGCGTGTTGTTCGTCTGTGGAACTCCTTGCCACAGGATGTGGTGATGGCATCTGGCCTAGATGCCTTCAAAAGGGGATTGGACAGATCCCTGGAGGAAAAGTCCATCGCAGGTTACGAGCCATGATGGGGATGGATAATCTCCGGGCTTCAAAGGAAGGTACCTCCAAATGCCAGATGCAGGGGAGGGGAATCAGGAGACAGGCATCCAGTTTTTTTGGGTGCTCCCAGAGGCATCTGTTGGGCCACAGTGAGATACAGGAAGCTGGACTAGAGGGCCCCTTGGCCTGATCCAGCAGGGCTCTTGTTATGTGTAGCCAAAAAACACAAGAACTTGAAAGGTTGCCATATAGAGGAGGGGTAGGATCTGTTTTTGATTGTCCCAGACTGAAGGCCACATAACAATGGGCTCAAGTTACAGGAAGGCAGATTTAGGCTGACTATCAAGAAAAACCTCTTAACTGTTAGAGCAGTACGATAACGGAACCGATGACCTCGAGAGATGTTGAGCGCTTCAGCTCTGAAGGCCTTCAAGAGAAAACTGGACCACCCTTTGTCAGATTTGCTTTGATTTGGATTCCCGCATTGAGCAGGGGGTTGGACTAGATGGCCTTACTGGCCCCTTTCAACTCCGTTGTTGTACGATTCTATGCGAAGTGCCACGGAAGGTGGCCTGGCCCACAGCTCAAAGCTGAATTCTCACTGTAAGGATAACACTGGACCACTGGAAGGCTGGAGTAAAAGGTTTGATTAACAGCATGTAAACCACTGTGGGAGCCCACCAGGATGTGGAACATCCGTGGCTATGGTAGTGCAAGAGGACTACGGTTCTGCCCATAGGCCCGTGTCCTATGGCAAAAAGTCAAAGTGTACACAATTACTTTTAAAAAGACCCCCCAAGGGAGGCCCAGAAGTCTTCTATTAGAGGTAGGGCCTTCTTAGTGGTGGCACCGAAGTTATGGAATCAACTCCCAGAGGAACTACACCCGGCCTCCTCCACATACTCATTTGGGAGGCAGTTAAAAACCCTACTTTTCAGTGGAGGCCTTCCACATTGACCCCGGTTGTATCTCTTGCCTCCTGTTTCCGTTTCGGTCTGAGAATTCGTTGGGTTTTTAAGTTTTTCAGACTCTGCGTTTGTTCTTTGTGTGGCAATTTAGTGTTTACTGCTTTGCTGTATTTTGTTTTCACTCCTGGTAAACTGCCCAGAATAATTAAACAAACAAACAGTTACAGTTCTAGTTTCAAGCCCCCAAAGTATTTAGTTACAGTTACAATTTTATAAAGTTACCAATTCTAGCTATAATCACTATTTTAGAAAGGCAAATAGACATCAGAAGAACTAAAATAAAGGTTAATCTTTCTTTTGTTTCTCCAAAGGACTTTTAGCTAGTTTTTTTTCCCCTGGGGGCAGAAACCTGCCATCTGCTATTCTTGTACAGTACAAAATACACTCTCATCCTGCCCACCTCACTGTCACCTCAACGCCCATAACAAGGTATAAAGGAGCAATGACACCCTGTAATAGTCCTCCTCCACTCGTGAGTCAAGCCACACACCCTTATATAAGCATCGCAAAAAGTGGCCAAAAAAGTTATTCTTATACAACAAAATGAGTGAAGTTATCCTTCATTACACTGCAGGCTGAATGTTGGCACAGCTTTATTATTGAGGGGGGGGGGAAGAAAGAATTGCCATTTGTTATTCCCAGCTGCTCAGCCAAGATCTGTTTGCTGGAGTAACACCACCAGCCCACCAGCTTAAACCTCATTGGCAAGTTAAGAAGCGAGCGCAGACATTTTGATCTGCGCAATTCAACACGCAAGAGCAAAGAACCTATGGAAACTTCGTAACTCGTGGCCGTTCGTTGCTGAAATTCACACCCGTTGTGGTCAATCGATGGGAGCAATTAAGGGGATTTTGCACATCAGTTCTGAAGCCCGGAAAGTGTACGCTGGATGAGTCAGACCAGCGGTTTCCAACCTTGGGTCTCCAGATGTTCTTGGACTACAACTCCCAGAAATCCTGGTCCAGCACAGCTAGTGATGGAGCCCTCTGGGACTTTGAGGAGATGACTCCACCAGCATTTGAGAACCCAAGGGTTGGAAATCATAGCGCTGTACCATCCCTTCAATGCACTGGTGATTCCGATGCTACTGACATCCACACCACCAACCTTCTCCATCTGTTAAACTTTCTTCCATCTCCAAATCTACTGGGGAGAAAGTTCCCTGCAAACTTCTAAACAGATTTACGTTTTGGGGCAGAGGCGCTGTGATTGACCCTTTTTTGTCAATGGCACTCGTGAATTTCGTTGTATGTGTATATACTTACAATGACAATAAATTATTATTATTATTATTATCTGGATAATGATTCCAGGATTCCGAGGTTGGAAATACAGCGGACCCTCGACTTACAGACGGCTCGACTTACAGACTTTTCGAGTGACAGACTTCTCTGGCCGCAAAATTTAGATTCAACTTGCAGCCGGAGAAAGGACTTACAGACCAGAAAAAAACGAAAAAGGAACAGAAATAGAATACAAACTGCCAGTTATGGGATTAATCTGTTTTCAATGCATTTTAGGTCAATGGAGATTCGACCTACAGATTTTTCAACTTGCAGCCACCGTTCCAATACGGATTAATTCCGTAAGTAGAGGGTCATGATCCGGATAATGATTCCAGGATTCCGAGGTTGGAAATAAGGCGCGGAGCATCGTTTGCAACTATGAGACCAGTGCGAACAAGCATGCTTACACTGCACTGGCAAAACTATTCGGGACTTTTCCAAACATCCCAGCTGTACAACTTCCTAATGAGTTCACAAGCTAAGCTGGTGATAGTCTCTTGCATCCACATGGATAGGCCTGGGATTCATGGAATACAGACCCCCAAAGTTTGCAGAAATTCCTTCAGCCAGATGCCTGGGGTGGGTGGTGGTTAGCAAAAAAAGCAACAAAACA